GAGGTCATACTGTTCCCGTCATCAGGGCAACAACCCAGAAGACAGAATTCTTCTTACCCACCGCTGTAAAAACCTCAAATCATACATAACAAAAAAACTCACGAATCGAATATCTAATTCACTGACTAGCAAGCTAACAAACAAACAAACCAACCAGCCTACTGAATAATAAATTAACTCATCAAATATAGTGATCGATTATTTAATGAACCAATCAACCAAGAGACAAGCATCTAAGCATATAATCAACCGTATGTGTATCTGCATGCTTTAAGACCAGAAAGTACTTCACCCCTACCCCACCCTGACCACGTGACTAAATCACGAGCGTTGCTAGATCTGCAACGCTGAAACTTCTGAGCTGTCTTCATTCGCCTCGGCTCCGCTGTTCGTGCTGCAACGTTGTACAATTTTGTTGTGACCTTGAAGCATGAAATGTGGTTACGGCTACTGTAACCAATCGATCAACCAACCATAAAATTCACTAATTACCAAACTACTATCCGGCTAAGCCACCGACTGAGTAATCGGATAACGACACCCCTTGTACAGGGTTTTGATCTGAGCAGTTGGTGATCAACGGAATCTTGCTAACAGTGTTTCTCAAAGTGTGGTACGCGAAAGGATCTCAAGGGGCACACGGCATACAATAAACAAGTATAAATTATTCCAGAGTTCTGTCTACTGTCATATGAACTCTTATATAAAGATCAATTAACAAATTTGTTAATTCGCATAAAGCTTGTAAATTCCTGTACAGTTTATAGCTTACCACATAGCTTTTTAGCATGCACAGAAAACTTATTAAACTGTAGTTCTACAGTTTACGAGTTAAATGATTCTGATTTGACTGCTGCAAACTGATTTCACGCGTTCGAATGCCGTCCAGGATTGGTACTGGAGTATTCTTCGTGCAGGTAGAAGCTCAAAACAAAGACGTTTCCAGACCAACATGCATTGCTTTTTTACTTGTTTGCAATAATACAACATATCCTCAAATCATAAAAGACAACAACAAATCATCCGGAATATAAAACTAACGCCTACATTTTTAATACGTAACAATATCTTGTACGATAAGACCTGCCTGTTTCTGAGAACACTGGTGAAGTTTATGTAAAGTAGATCTCATATTGGACATATACAAACCAAAATTAGAAAATTTGTTGTACAGACTATGGATACCAAATTTAATCGAAATTTATTTTGTGGTTTCGGTGATGAAAGAAGCTATCCTGAAGGAAGAATATGACCACCCCGTTCATCGTGTTTTACTCACTTCGCATAATACACAGCTAAATAACGCATCGTAAGAAATTTCATGTCTCTTATCGTATGTCAGTACTACGAAGTTACGTTGAGTGAAAATATTACATTAAAATGCAGTGAATATAATGCAAAACTGAGCTTCCTCTTCTGACATGAGGTTGGCAGAGCATTTCAAGCTTCTCAGTTGAGTCTCTAAGCCTCAGTTTCAGTTATTTTTTAATTAGCTATGACCCTTCACGGACGTCCAAGGAAAGCTTCATGGACGCAAATCCAATTAGAGGACCCGTTTACTTTCTGTCGTATCAAAGGAAGTTGGGCCAATATTTTATTTAGCACACAAGCAGTACACACTGAATCCAGTTTACACGGACCATGGCAAAGTATAAGCGGCATATCGCCACAAAACGCGATAGGTTGTCCATTTACGAAAACATTTCGTCACGAATATGACAAACTTCTACTCTGATAGCTGTACCAAAGTGGAGGTGTGCAGTCAACCTTAAGGTCCGATCGAGAATAGAGCCCTCGATACTCGTTGCGTTAAACCCTTGTTGCTCTCTGCACAGATGTTTCCCTCCGTCTGCACATCTGTAACTACTATAGAACAGTTGAACGGATTTTTGCGAAATTTAATACTGGAGATTGTACGAAACATCTATGAACCATTTCAGGTTTGATTGAAATTGGACAAAGTTAACTGGCTCTTTACAGAATGATCTACATGCGCTCCGGTTGTGCGATGACGTCATCACAGTCATCTTTCAACTTTGTGAATACTCGGAGAATTCGCATGATGGAGTTAGAGTAATATCTTATTATTCAAAAGGTCTCGGGTTCGATCCTACCTGTTGCCACTAACATAAATCGTCGTTATCGTAATAGCCCAGTATTAAAACGTACAGGGTTCGATCTCAACCGCTGCCAATAATATAAATTACGAAATGTACATATGGCTTGACAAATCGGAAGTGTTCGGCAGAATTTAATTTTTGTTTGATTAATTATTGGATGAACCATTGTGAATGGCCGAAATTCATAGGTTGCAGTTTCTCCAGACTTAGAGCCACGTGACCACGGAAGATGAAAATATTAGGAATATAAATTAATCAACACATCATTATGTTAACGAATTGGCTATAATACTGAAATATGTGTTTATGTGCAAAAATCTCCTATTATGACTAGCTGATGCCAAAAAAACTCCGTTATGTAAAACTTTCCTTAAAATTTTCCAATCTACATAAATCCTCTTCACATTTTCGTGTAAAACTGTATGCCACGGGCATTAATACGTATTTGGTAACAAAAGAATTATTTTTTGTTTACCGCTATGAAAACTATGTCCTGCATGTAACATCCAATCAACTATGCCGTCATAACAAATCCCTGGGCAACATTATAGTAAATGGAATACGGTGTGATTCCAGAACAAAAGTTTTCCGTTCAACTAACACCCATGTAAAAAACCAAGGATGAAAATTCTATTAAGGACAAAAGAGGACATGCTTGCATATAATATTATTGCTCAGGTGCCGTCATAACTAAATTCAGTTACAGTATGGGTCGAAAGAAACCTTACGTTACATTTTTTCAAGTTCTGCTGAGAACGTCTGCCGCTTTCCTGTTAAATGTCGTTGGATTCAAGCAAGGGAGTGAGGAAACGACTGCTTGCCGCGACAAGGATCGAGATATAACGTTGCGATATTGCGAATCTTCGTCACTGCCCGTAAATCGGCGATCTAGTGTGAGTCCCAGAAAGGCTATTTCTTCATCATGAAGTATCGAAAAAGATTAACTGTGTGATACACGACCATGGCATTCCAAAAGAAACTTATAGAGAGAAACAGCACGTAGCCTATATAAAAGCATTCTCATTATGAAGACAACGCGTCTCCTTGGATGTTGCACTGGAGTGATACAATGTCACTGTGGAACTGGGTCGCCAACGGGCCCATAGTCCGTCCGCCAGATGATACATGAGAATATTCACAAGGAAAAACCCTAGGACTCAGACAGAAACCTGTTCCAGTGCCACTTTGCCCATATGGATTGACCTTGGTGCGAACCGAAGCCTCCGAGCTACCATTTCCATAATGGTCCACTGTCACGAATATTTAAAATAGCATAAATATCAACTGACTACACCGAACAGTTAATTCGACGGTAATATAGCATCTTTCTTTTCATCGGTGGTTTTTTCATCTCGGTTCATCACAAAGCAATTACGTGTGCCACATTTTTTAGTTAGGAGAATGTTTAATTACTAACTAATTACCTAACTTTCTCAATAAAAAAGAGTAATTATTGATAGACTTTCATTTTAATAATATCGCCACTTTGTCAATTGTTCAGCAACCGAGTAATTTCACTTAAAACTTCAAAATAAGTAACAACGTTCTCCTTTCCTTAACCTTTCCTTTTTCTAAACTTTTCTACAAAAAGAGTTTGATTACAAGTCGCATACCCTGTGCCTCTACCGACGAGTTCTACTGAGGAAAGTGTGAGTGCCGCTGATTGAAGCGTATATCAAGATTTAATTTCCTGTTAACTGGAGCAGAACTGCTCTGAATTCAGCGTTCGAGGTATGTTACCTGGAGGATTTACTGTTTCATTATCTTACTTACTTTCAGTCATTGTCCATCATTAAAAATTCATAAATGTAAGAACAAAAACTGTGACTTAGTAAAATAATAAAAATTCGAAATGACTGAATTAGAAACTGAATGGTGCTATATATATATATATATATATGTATGTAATCTGTTCTGACGGAATCCTAAGGTTTATCTCTGTGTTCCATAACATCCACAATTGAATCCTATAAACAGCCAGTTAATCCTACTTTGTATCGGACACTACATTTATCTAAGATCCATTTAATATTAATGTTTTATTTATTCTGAAATATCCCATGTAACAACTTTCCTTCAGATTTTGTAACAGAAACACGTTATGCATATTCCAGGCTTCAAACGTCGATAAAGTTAATTGGATTATTTCTGATGCCAGATATCATGATAAAATAAAGTAAATAATAATATTATAGTACAAAACTGAAAGACTGGACGTAAAATAAAAAAACGTAATATTATTACGGATGCACCTACGCCTTTGTTTAGGATAATGAGAAAATCAATTGTTTCGTAATCAGAGAAAAACTTAAACGAAACAAAAAATAGAAGGAATAAAGCTGAAAAAATGAGGTTTGTGATGTATCAGAAACATGATTTGCGTTCTGATATCAGAAGAGAAGGGAAGATATTAACGAAGGAACTGCAGACCAGGCAGAATTTCGAAGTACATAAATGCAGTCGGATCATGTTAAGAGCACGAAAGAAAAATCTTTTTAAAAAGAATTTTTAGTTGCAATCCACGGAAGGAAGTGGATGCTTGAAGACCTATAAACACACGAAGTGGCCACAGGAAGACATGGGTCACGACAGAAATAATTAGGCTTAAGTGTGATATCGATAATTTATGATAAAACTACATTTAATAAATAAGATGTTTTATGCAGTAGTGTAGAAATGACGTGGTAAAATGTCTCTAACATAACCAAAGAATAAACTCAAAATTATTAATATGGCAAGATACTGTTTGTTGTAAAACAGGCGAACTACACTATAAAGACATCTTAAATTGCAACCTGCGTACACCAGGACAATCGAACCCCGATTAACAATGCATCCTACAACTAAGTAGGGTCAATACTGTACATGAATGGTACTCACTATGCAATGTTCGTCGTCGTCCCATCGGAACCGACAGTTCTCGTTCCCGTTACACTCCAGTTCCTTCTTGATGCAGCGCTCGTCCTGACAGTCGAACTCGTCGCTCTTACAGCGCCCTGCAATAATTCCGTCCGTTCATCTGTTAATTCACTTAACGGCGAATTATGGCGGGATTATTGCCATTGAGGAACTTTAAAATGTCGGACGAAGCGGTTGTCGAATATTTTGAGGCTCTACTCTACATTATCTTGCAGGGAATAAAGAAAATCGCGAAGAAACTAAATCAGGGTAGCATGTCTTCGTCTCCGTGTCGAAATTCGAAACTTGGATCTCAAAATTTTGATGCAAGAGCTAACCACTAAAATGTCACTGGTATTATATGTGATCAACATTATATTATCAAAATTGTAATCGTTATTCACGTTACGTCCCGTCGCGACGTCTGCAGTTTAGACGCCGACAAAATATTCCGAAAATGCGAAGAACGGTCTCGTGATGACATGTGACATGATGCCATAAACTTTACGCCGACTGTCGCGAGGTGGTCAACTGTCAACGTTTCTCTTTCGCAGAGTAACAACACGTAAACTAACCTAACACAACCTAGCCCTCCAGAACGTGCAATAATAGAATATTATATTCCGAACCGGACTACACAATGCGATTTTTGCAAATTTCTTATTTTGATTGACCCCAGATGAAATATTTTAATATAATAATTATTAATAAAAGATTGTCAGTTATCTTAATTGTACAAATTTAGTTTCTGTCTACACAAATATTGTTTTTATATCTTTTTAAGTACTGTAAGTTACTGGGGATACATAACAAGACTCCCCCTAGATCTACAGCCATACACTATTGAATGCCCCAACTGGAAATGACGTTACTGTCGGTGGCATCTCACGAAATTTTTTCGTCTGTCATGTTGGTATTGCTTATTGTAGGAAAATAGAACGACTCTATGGTAGATACCGGTGGCATTTCGTCCATACCAAATTTCTTCCAAATCTGTCCAGTGGTTTTCGAGTTGGATCATTCGAACAAACTGACTGACATATGATCAGCCATTTTATGCGTTCATTCCGTGCACATCGATCAAAGAACACGTAACAATAGAAAGACGAAATCGTATATAAGAACGTACGTACAGTATCACCAGAAACAGCGGAAGTTTTCTTCTTCAATAAATAGTCTTTAATAAATTATACAAAAATATTTAAAATGTATATTTATTATGACAATGTTATAATATACACTCGTATTGACTGTTCTATTATTTACCAGATTGGCGCCGGATAGTGATGGCTTAATGCATAAACTGGTTGCCAAACAACAAAATAGCAGTAGTCACAGATCGTTCATGAATATGCATTAAATGTTTTTCCAATCGGCAGAGTAGCGGCAGTGTGTAATGCCGGACCTGGTCACACAGAAGCCAGAAGACAGACGGAGTTAGCGGACATAAAAATGGCCAAACTCCAATAAACGATTTTATATACACTAAGATCATTAATACTGCAGCTCAGTCAGTAAGGCGGGGATCGGAATCGTGCAGGGACATTGAAATTTTTGTCTTCACCAATGGGACCAAAACGGCTTAATGCCTCGCGCAACCTGTGGAATAAAGCTAACCACCGATTAAAGTAGCAGTATTTTAATATCGAATTTATACTTGTTCCAAATGTTAGTTATCTTACCATCATTTTCGTCGTTCTTCTTAGCTTCTCTGTAAGCAGTGAAGAGAGACGAGAACGTCGAGTTCCTGGCATCCGAATCCGCAAAGAAACGGACGTAGAGAATATTGTTCTCCGAGTTCACAACATCTGCAATAGCGCCACAGAACGTCTTGACTCGGGACTTGACATCGGTAGTTGGAGAGAAAATGTCTACGAAGTTTTTCTGACAGTCATTTGGCTTGAACAGGTTGAAAGTTTTGAAAACCAGCTGGATCTGAAACGTCAATTTAATACTACATTACACTTTTCTGTAAGAAATCAGATGGAAAGAACGTTTAACCTAAAACTAGCCTGAAAACTAAACATTAACTTAATCTATATTTCGGCAGTGGTATTTCCTTGGGTTGCAATGGTTGTCAGCGTTAGTTATTAAAACAATTCATGCCAGAAATGCACAGGTGTTCTCTAGAAAACTTTGAAAATTGATTTATTTTGTATTATTGTATACCCCACTTCATATGCTACTAATTTATTGCAAACAGGCTACAATTCCACAAATGCAAAACGTATTACACTACAGACTAATCAGACATTTATTTGGCCTTGAATTGTTCATTCTATCTAAGCATGTTGTCTGTAGATGGTTGTATTGACACAACAACCCAGAAGACAACCATCTACAAACTCACTGCCGTGAAAACCTCAAATCCTACATGTCTGTAACTCCAGTTTTCATAGATAGGACATAACGGTTCTTGAAGGTTTTCCAACATTTCCGCATTTTTAAGGTGGGCAAGAAGTTGTGGGAGGGGCAGGGATGCGATTGAAGTCGGGAGATAGAAACAATGGTGTTCTGCAGTGAGGAGATCTGTTATAACAAGAGTGACTTGCAGAATAACAAAATTTAAGTTAAAAATAAGAGTTTATTGTAAATAGCACGAGTGAATAAATTTATCTATCAGTTCTGAAGAACCCACGTGTAACCAATGATAGTCCGTTAAACTATGAAGAAAAAATCGGAAAATATTTCGAGTAGGCCGACATGTTGCAGATCTGATATGAGATCCGGACTTTACGTCCTGCACTAAATAAAGAAAAAAAGCAGTTAGAATTGATATTCAAAAATCATGCAAAGTAGTGGTTGGTTCTAAACAAAATTACATTAGCCTGACACCTTGCAGCGTTGAATTACAATATAAATGAAAACGGACTCCCTTGAATAGCTCTGCACATGAAACAGAGGAATTAACATTGGAAAGGACACGAAGAAGGCCCCGACTTCTGCACAAGTGCGTTAATTTTAAGAGCTCCGTATACACAACGCGTAATTAACAGAACCTTCCAGCTGCTCCTCATGACGGCATGCATTCATCACTGACAAAGCTCACTTACAAAATGTCTCATAATCTTATTTAAACCAAAGTAATCTATGTTCAGTTTAACTTCCAATATTCATTTGCATGCCAGTTGCAATGTACCACTAATATTTTACTTACTTTTATATCTTAAAGTTTCTGTGTCCTCAAAGAATTTAGCATCCAAATTTACCCATACATATAGTGTCTTTAGGCCCAATGTTTTTTTGTTTGCTTTTAAATATATTTTTGTCGTTTAATGTGTTTATACATTCGTCTTTTAAGCATATCATATTTCGTCACTATTTTACCAAATAATGTTTTTTAAAAACTTAGAAGTGTGAAGATTCTCCTCACAAACTTAAAACTGAAAGATGTCAGCCATGTACGATTAATTTCATTAAATATTCTGCTTTGTATTTAAACGAAGACTGAAATAACGCGAAACTGCTGCCAGGGAGTGAAGGAAAACCACAATTAGTTTTAGTCTTTACGTACATTCTCTCAATAAATATCCCCAACTGGTAATGATAGGGTGGAAAGTGAAGGACTTGATTCATACAGTTACGAAAGTTCAGTATTATCATTTTCAAATTCGATTTCAATTTCCATGCTGTGTTAGAACAAACAGGTTTAATTAACTAACTCCCTGGTAGCGGGGTTAGTTAACTTGTTTAATACCTTAAGGACTTGATTCATGAAACATTTATGGAAGTCTAAAGGCTCAGAGATATAAGAATCTCCTTGTGTCATGTGTGTCTGTCCGTTTTCTAATTCGATTACACATATCGATAAATATAAAACAGCAAACAAGGAGTATAAAGAAGTGAACTTACTGTAAACCAACTCAGTTACTTTAAATTGTTTCAGACTGTACATTTAAATGTTTTAAATATTTACTTTGATGAAACAACAAGGTATACTTTTTAAATTCACCGGAAAAATAGTTTATAAACTATAAATTATTAAAATGGATAGAATGCAGAAGAAATTAATATATTTTTACAAATTATGGGAACACGTACACGTTTAGTCTCTGTATAACCACCACTGTAAATATTTCATCAGTAAGCCAAATTACGTGTTACAACACGCGCAACTAATGGGGACGTTTACAACAGTTACCAACATGCTTTTTAATGTTATTTCTTCAATCCTATTAAAAAAAATAATTCATGTTTTTTTAAAATGTCCACAGAGGACATGCGATTGATATGCATCACTAATTAATACTGAGAAAAAAAATCTTAATTTTACTTTAACGTGTCGCAGCCACCCCTGCCTCAAATTAGATCACAATCGCTTCCGTCCACATAATTTCCAATTCGTAATTCACTAATCATCCTACAGTTCGATGCTAAATATTAAGTGTTACTGACAGAGTCCTTAAATAAACCACAGATAACAAACACGACAGTTTTACGACACGCGTTTCACCAAGGCACTCGATGGCTCTAGGACTCCACTTCACTGAAGAAGTTTCGTCACAACGAAGAAACGTTATTAAATTACAAGCCGCACTCCTGTCCTTTGACAGTCTTTTAAAAATTTTAGGAACGTACATAATTTGTAATAAGATGCGAACTGTACACCCATTCAAAATCACAGTCTTGTAATTAAAAAGCGAGTATTGCACAAGCCAGTGTATAGGCTGCTTCAAAATTAGTTGTCACATTACTGAAGGTGGGGTTGGGACAATTGGAAAACTTGTACACAATGGAAAAGCTGGATGGGACTTTGAGTCGAAATTCGTGAAGATAACAAAAGAAAAAGATAAGGCATCCATTAAGCAAAATTAAAAAAAAACCTGCAAGTAACATAATTTGCGTTTTATATACTTGCCGGCGTAGCTCAGTCGGTATAGTGACTGGCTATGGACTGGGCGACCGGGGTTCGATCCCCGACGGGGGCAGAGGATTTTCCTCTAGCCTCTGCGTCCAGACCGGCTCTGGGGCCCACCCAGCCTCCTCTACAATGGGTACCGGGGTCCTTTCGCGGGGGTAAAGCCGAGGTCAAGAATAAATATCTCTCCCCCCCAAGCGCCTACATGGTGTATAGCGGGACAAGTTTTTATACTTGCTGATAACAATGGTATTTTAATCTCAGAGACTGCTTAGAGGGTGCTCTTTTTATTGCGAGATCGAGCGGTGTGTGGAGGACACCATCGAGGTGGCTAAGCGGCAAAGATTTCATCCGCTCTACGGTGCTCAGTCCTGAGATAAAAAGGACACTGTTATTGTTATTACCGCGATGAGTTTGAAACTACGTCTCTGTGGAACTGGGCCGCTATAAGACATTTGTCCATACCCAGATGATACACGAGCAGCGATCGAATGATACTGACATGGGAAAACGGAAGGACTCGGAGAAAAACCCGTTCCACTGCCAGTTTTCCACCACAAATCCCATTTAGACTGCCTTAGGAGCGAGGACGGGACTCAGCGGCGAGGGACACTTGCCCCCCAAAAAAGGACCCTAGGGCTCCTTCTCATAGAAAATAAAAAGGTAAAGATGAACCTGTTACTTAACTAGGCACCATGAAATGTAGACGAACTGAGAAATTATTCATCACCCTGATGATGGAGGCAGCAAACACCTCTGAAACGTTGGTAAATTTCTATCATATCATACGGAACTGCAACCCAAAAAACAGCCATTTTCAAACTAAACTAGTGATTTAACTGTTGGTGTTGATTTTAAAACCTGGCGGCGTAAGCGATCACTTGAGAGAAACTGACAACATGGAAGGTTTTTATTAAAATAAATATTAGGCTGAAGAATGTGTACTGGATTAAACTGGCTCAGGATAGGTTTCAATGTTGGCTCTTCTGAACACGGAAATAAGCCTACGTTTTCCATACAAGTATCCATACTTTTTAAAAAATGTCACAAGCCATTAAATTAATAACAATATAAAGAAGTTAATTCTCACAAAGTCGGTGAAATAGTCCTAAATACTAACAATTTAAAAGTGACTGGAAGAGGACTCGATAAATATTTGTGTTCAGACATGTGAAGCACACGGCAGGGGATCGATCTTGCGGTCATTAACCAAAACAAACGAGGCTATTATGTTAACAAGGGAATAAAATTTACACAAATTGCGGAAATGATAATACGGCCGTTTCATGAAGTCACTGTGAACCGTTGCTTTTATATGGCCGAATAAATGTTTCAAGCGACCGTAGTTCACACTAAAAAGCTTTTAATGGTCACAGATTCCAATGCTCATACAACAGCACAGTTTCAATTCATTAGACTATAAATCCTGCACTACAAATCGGTAAACATTAATATGCACTAAATGCGCTGCCCACTGACGTGAATTCCAGAGATTCGAGTGACTGCATCTAAGATTCTGAGTAATAATTAAGTAAAATTCCCTTATTATCGTGATACCTACAGCAAAGAGCTTATGATATAATAACAATAACAAATATATGCAATACACAAAAAGATAAACGAAACTCTATGCATTTAATCTAAAAACCTTCTCGCATCGAGAAAGTATTCTAGAAGAAGACATTGCTTTTGCTGAAAATGTCTAGAAAACTGAATTTATGATTTTCAGCAGTAACGCACCTACCTGTAAGATTTTGTCTTTTAGACTACTCCCTCTGAAAGTACAAAATTCTCCTTATTAGCTTATTAATACTAACAGTGTTCATGATGGAACGGTAATTATTTTGCACTTTAAAACATTAAAGCAGAAAAGCATCGATATGTCGTCTAGGGAAAAGTGTACTCAAATTTAAGTGATATGTTTTCTAAACCATCAGAGAACAATAGGATTCACGTGATTCAGTAAGAGAAGTAGCCACAGCACAGCATATTTAAGTTCTGTTGAATATCAAGTTCATTTAAGTTCTATTAAGGAGTTTCAATTCAAGAATTGTTGGCAAAAATAAATATTCAGAAA